GGGAAATAATACGTATTAGCTACGGATACCCTTTGGATTAGGTCTGCTGTGATAAGGTCCATAGGGAGTGTGAATGACATGTAGTTGCAGCCATGGGGAGGAGGAAGCTTACAAGAAAGAGCACTCTGCACTGACACCCATTCTGCATTTCTGACAGCTGTTGCGAAGTCCATGAAGCATCATCAATCAAAATCAAACCTTCTAATTTCCTGAATACCTAAACAAACTCTTCACTTGAGAAACCTTTTCAGGTTCCATCAAAGGTAATCAAATTTTTGGTTTCTCATGGAACTCTCATGCATTATCTGTATAAATAATACCTCCAAAATGAAACTTTTTTTTGTGACAGTTGCTGCAGTCAATTCTTTCCCAGCTTGCACCATGGTCTGAGTTCCTTTTTCTGTTCTGCCTGCCTCCTGATGCTGCTCACTCAAGCCTCATGGCTTGAGTGTTTCTGCTTCCTGGCTTTTCATGGATCCTTCCCTCAAGATAGGTAGCTACACTGGCTTTCTAAGATCACTAAGTGTATTAACCCATTTTGTTCCTCCATTTGGTTAATTCTCTATGTTGGATATTTGGTTAAGTTACCTGTGTGTGTGTGCTCTTTATGTTTCTTCGAATAAAGTTCATATAGTTTCACATGGCTGGGGTCTCTGTCACTTATTACAAACATAGCTAGTGCTGGATCCTGCGTATTACATTACCCCCTCTCATACAGCAAAATTTAGTGTTTCCCAAACTAGTTACAGATATATTGTTACTGCCTGTGGAGGCTCTTCCACAGCCCCACACATTTAGGGTAACAGATATACTTGGAGCACTAATTTCTGAGTTCTTCTGGCCAGGGAGGATTGGCACCAGGATAAATTACATCTACATCCTGACAAGATGTTCAACCAAAATGTCCTGATTGATGAGAAATAAAATTATTGGGAAATCCAAGGAAATCAACAGTGTCACACTCCTGCTGACTATCTCTTGGAGTAAGTAAGCCATGCCTGTGTGGTGTAGTAGTTTGAGAGTTGAACTAGGACTCTGGGAGACCAGGGTGTTTGTTTCCACTTGGCCATTAAAATCCATTGGGTGACAAGTGGCACTCTTTAAGCCTTAGAGGCAGGCAGAGGCAAATCTTCCTTTAATCAGAGGCTGGATGGCCATCTGTCAGGGATGGTTTAATTTTGAATTCCTGCATGGCAGCGGGTTGGACTGGATGGCCTTGTGGTCTCTTCCAGCTCTATGATTCTATGATTCTCTGAATAAATCTTGCCAAGAAAACCCTACAATAAAGTCACCATAAGCTGAACTCCAACAATGTGAAGGTACGCAACACAGCAACAAATTAACCCAACAGTTTAAGGTTGCTTTGGTAGCTGTCAAGTAGCTGGGCTGGAGAATCAGGTTAAAAAATGATAATGAGTACAAGCCAGGACAGTTTATAAATAATAATAATAATAATACAATTTATTTGTATTCTGCCCCTCTGAGAGCAATTGGGGGGGCTAACATATTAAAATACAGAATACAATCAAAAAGTATTAAATCAAGACAGGTTAAACATTTTAATTAAAACACAGAATAAATAAGACCACAGTTATAATTAACTCACAGCGAAGAAAGGAAGTGGAAGCGGCGAACATCACGTTGGGAGGGAGAGGACTAAGGAAATTTATACCCAGAAATAAGGTATTTGTCTTCATGCCCATCATGTATGTCTTCATGCCCATCATTTATTCTGTTAAATTAGCCAATGCTGAGGAATGATGGAATCTGTGATCCAACAATATCTGGAAGACCCCATGTTCCCTAACTTTCCAGTAATGGTAACAGATGTTGTTTTATTTGTTCTTTATAAACATTACTAAGGGGGGTTGCAGACTGTCAAAAATAGTGTGAATTCAGTCCACTTTTAGGGTTAGGGTTAGTGCTAGGGAATCATGGGAATTGTTATTTTTCTGAGACATTGAACCTTCTTTGTCAGAGAACTCTAGTGCCACAATAAAATTCAGTTCCCTTGATTCCCTAACCTTAACCCTAACCCTAAAAGTGGACTGAATTCACACTATTTTTGACAGTCTGCAACCCCCCTCTCTGAAAGTCCAATTAATCTCCATTGCTCCTTCACATGAACATATTCAGGCTTCTATTTCCTTCTCCCCTTTCCTGTGTTCTGGAACCTTCCAGATACTTTTGGTGTCAGTTTCCATAAACCCCTGTCAGTATGGTCAGGGAGTGTGGGAGTTGAGGGGGGTATGCTGATTAGGCTTTCTGGAGCTGAAGTCCACAGCATTTGGAAGACTATAGGCTGAGAACCACAGCTTGAGAAGATCTTGGACCAAACAGTGACTAAGCTTCAACAGCTTTTGCTAGCCTTGCATAACTATGAACTGGCATATGAGGAGAACCATATATGCAGCTCCTTTCAGTTCTTTGAGCTCAACAGTAGCTTTTTGAGAGGGTTTGATCTGTTCAAATCAGATACTACATATATAGCCCGGCCAAGCTATTATCATATATTGTACCCCAGTATCTGCTTCATATGGAGGCTGCATGGCATAGTGGTTTGAGTATTGGACTATGACTCTGGAGACCAGGGTTCAAATCCCTGCTCTGTTTTGGAAATCCACTGGATCTTGGGCAAATAACACTCTCTCAGTCTCGGAACAGTGTCACCTTAGGGTCACCATATGTCAGAAGTAACTTGGAGGAACACAACAAAAACAACAATGACCTGCTTCATTCTCTTCCCTTCTCTTGTATGTATTTCTGTTTTGCAGTAGGTTTGGACAAGGTATGACTTAGGAGGTTACAAACTATATGGAGCATCTTCATGATTTATGGCTTGGGACAATGACAAGAACAGTATAAGGAAAAAAAATCCACTTAGTTTTACAGTCAGAAGGAAAATCCCATTTTATAAATATAGATTTATTCCTAGGATGGTAGTAATGCACTTTAGAGGCCATATCATTTCACCTGTCATCTTTTGCAGGTTAACATAATGTGTGGTGAATTGTGAATTACATACCTTCCAGGACAGTCAACTGTGAGATGATAGACATGGGTAAATATTGACTCCATAGAATGCAAGAGTTCAGTCTGGAAATGAAGCATATAATGACAGTGATTTATAACAAGCTGGAAAGACATAAAACAAACTGCCATCACTACTAGTGAGAGGCCCACTATTATGTGTTTTAGAAGCAAACTGTGTCATAAGCAACCTATATTGGTCAAAAACAATCTCAAAGTCCACCAATATCAGTTCTTTGTCTGTTTTGTGTATTTGATAATTGCCCTTCCCTTGTGCAAAGACAGGTTTACAATTAAATAATAAGAAAACAACAATAATGACCACAGATGATTTATATAACTAAAGTAGACAATGAAAATGTTGAAATAGTTCAAGATTTCCATATTGTGGCTCAGTAATTAATCAGAATGGAGAGCACAGTCAAGAAATCCAAAAAAGACTAGGACTTGAAAGTGCAGCTGTGAAGGAATTAGACAAGATATATATATATAATTGAATACTAAATTTAGGATTTCCCATGCCATTGTATCTCCCATTTCTATATATGGTTGTGAAATATATTTCTATATATGGTTGTGGACCTCAGATGGCGTCTCACCTCTTAATGACTGTCTAAGAGCGGTAATGGACTGGATGAGGAAAAACAGATTGAAGTTAAATCCAGACAAAACGGAGGTACTCACAGTCACAGGCCAGAAATCAGATCTGGGAATACAGTCTCCAGTACTGGATGGAGTCACACTCTCCT